TTCAGAAATTAGAGATTATTCTTCGACCACTATTTTGACCCAAAAATCCAAATTTGAAGAAAATTGCCGACCCGAAGGTATACTGTAACCTTAATTAGTGAGGGAGTGCTTTGGAGAAGCCGCGAGGCAAATATAGGAATTAGCCAAGTTGCGTTCGCGAGTTCGCGCGCGAGACCCCGCTGGCTACGTCATTCTCAAATCAGATACGAAAACTTCGCTGAACAAGCGTGAACTAAGAGAACGACAAATACGCGATCTTTTGAACCTCCTGCGTGATCGAGTCGCCTTACATTATCAAATTTATTTCTCCACAAAGATTTGCCTTTTGAATTGATACTTCTACGAATTTAAGTACGTTCACATTGGGTCCAACATCAAAGAATAAGATAGATTAGGAACGCACAGCAGACATTTCTGCAGCCACATTAGTTTGGGCGGGAGGCTTAGAACTTCGTAAGACAGTCTTAAAATAATGCGCAATTACGAGAAAGGGCTTTTGAAATGAAGCACAAAAGACTATGCTGTTGGTCATTGATTTTTATAACATTTGGTGGCTCCTAAAGGAGCCGTTTGTTTTGGCGGGAAACCCACAAAGTGAGTTTACTTGCTGCTGGTGTACTTGGTCACAGCTTTGGTTCCTTCACTCACGGCGTGTTTGGCCAGTTCACCGGGCAGAAGCAGCCTGATGGCGGTCTGGATCTCGCGGGAGCTGATGGTTGATTTCTTGTTGTAGTGTGCAAGGCGGGAAGCTTCGGTAGCGATGCGCTCAAAGATGTCGTTGACAAACGAGTTCATGATGCCCATGGCTTTGCTGGAGATACCAGTGTCAGGGTGAACTTGCTTCAACACCTTGTAGATGTAGATAGCATAGCTTTCCTTTCTNCCTTGGATGTTGTCCCGAAGGATCTTTCGGTGACGCTTGGCGCCTCCTTTTCCTAGACCTTTGCCTCCTTTACCGCGACCAGACATGTTGACTCCTTGCACGTATCACTGAGAAATAACCAACTTTGCGCCGTTTATGCTTTTTATAGGATGAAGAATGACCTCTCAGAAAACATAACACGAATATGCATGTTCTTATTGGCTGACTAAATACAACAAAGCCAAGGGTCAGGCTGTTAATTATCACTGATAAAATACCGGCATTCGCCAAGTACTCGCTTTCATTCACACTATACGTGCGAGCACATTCTGTAAAGGAAAACAAGTACAACCATTAATTAAACCTCCATAAAAACGCATAACGAAAGTATAACTAACTTTGCATCTATTCAAGCGATTTTTCTTTAAATCTCAGCGAAGAAATGTGCCTACTCCTGAAAAAAACCTTTTGAAAGCTTCTTAGGATCGAGATACAGTCACAGAACCGTGAAATTATTTGGTGATATTATATTTAACCAATCAAATCTCATAGTTTTGAACCAATCAGGAACAAGCCCGCCAGGTATAAATCCGTTTCTAACATTATTTTATCATTATCAGTGATATTTCACGATATCGAACATGGCACGTACAAAGCAAACTGCTCGAAAATCAACTGGTGGAAAAGCTCCACGCAAACAGCTCGCTACAAAGGCAGCTCGTAAGAGTGCTCCTGCCACCGGTGGAGTCAAGAAACCTCATCGTTACAGGCCTGGTACAGTCGCTCTTCGTGAGATCCGTCGTTAACAGAAATCCACCGAGCTGCTGATCCGCAAACTGCCGTTCCAGCGTCTTGTGCGAGAAATCGCTCAAGATTTCAAGACCGATCTGCGTTTCCAGAGTTCCGCTGTGATGGCTCTTCAAGAAGCTAGCGAGGCCTACCTTGTTGGTCTGTTTGAAGACACCAACTTGTGCGCCATCCACGCCAAGCGCGTCACCATCATGCCCAAGGATATTCAGTTGGCCCGCCGAATCCGTGGAGAGCGAGCATAAAGTGGACAACACTTTCACCAAACAAACGGCTCCTTTAGGAGCCACCACATGAATAAAAGCAATGACCAATTGATCTATTACAAAAAATATGGTATTCCCTTCACAGTAGATACTATCAGATAATATATAGATGTTGATTGGCCACGCGTTCGTAGCAGAACTAAAGTTCTCGTACAAGCGGAGTACTTCTGCAGCAAAAATCTAAAAACACGGGGCGACGCAGCGTTTGCATGATTTTTTTGAAACCTCTCGGTTCAGGAAAGGTTACGATCCACACTACTTTCTTTTTGGATTAAAGCTTAGTTTGAAGTTGCAAAAATCCAAATCAAGGCCTTTCGTGTTTCTACAATAAGATAGTCAGCGCTGTGTATAAAGAGCGGAATACATACTTTATCTTCGGGACAATCTCAAATGATCCCGCGTGGATTTTCCTTGTTGGCGGACGCTACAGTATTTCATCATGTTTACGTACACATCCAAGACATTTCGAATACTCAATAATACTCAACAATGCCCGAAAGAACAGATCAAAACTGTTATCTTTGACGGCGGGGTTTTTTTTTTGTCAAAAGATGTTTGTAATCTTTTATTCTCCAGGAATCAGTTCGGAAAACCGAGCTCGAAATAGCCGTTAGTAAATAATTTCCCTTGGCCTTACAAGTGAATTGGATCTTTGTTATTCAATATTGTTATCGAGAGAATCTATTTTCGCTCCAGACTTTCTCGGGCAAAACTGAAACGAATCTTTTCAAATGGCTTTTGCGTTACACGCGCACGAGACCACGAGTCACGCAACTTCCGAGATTGTTTTCAAACCGTCACAGTCAAAGCGAGCTTTCAGCGACAAATCTTTAGAAACAGATTATTTTACGGAGTCTCCTTAGAATTTAAAAGTGAAATCGAATAATTTGTAACTTATAGATATTTTTCGGGCAAGGAATAGAAGACGGGACGAACCAAAAGCTTTCACAGCACAAGTTTATAGCTTAAGAAATCAAAAAAAAGGATTATTTTTTTCGGAGTCGTACTCTGTTGACTATTGCACTTTTATTTCGTTTGGTGGCTCCTAAAGGAGCCGTTTTGTTTGGTGAAGGAGTGCCCTACTCCTTAAGCTTTCTTAGCTGGCTTCTTGGCGGGCTTCTTCGCCGCGGGTTTCTTCACTGCTTTCTTGGGGGACTTTTTGGCTGCAGGCTTCTTAGCCGCTGGTTTTTTAGCTGCGGGCTTCTTTGCTGCTGCTTTCTTAGCTGCGGGTTTCTTTGCTGCTGGCTTTTTCTCCGTTGGTTTCTTTGCGGCCTTCTTTGCCGCCGGTTTCTTCGCGGCCTTCTTGGCGGCGGGCTTCTTTGGTTTGGCGGCGGGCTTCTTCTTTGCAGCGGGCTTCTTCTTTGGTTTCTTCTCCTTCTTT